AATTAATAATAATTACTTGTAGTAAATTTTCTTCTTCACTAAGGTGTTTTTCTACTTTTTTATATAAATGATCTAAGTCTTTTTCCACCTCTCGTCCATGATACTCTTTAGTTACTTTCCTTAATTCCTTTTTGTTTACTGAAAGCCACTTGATAACCAACTTCTGATTCTTTTATACCTAGTGAAACCTTAGCTTCAACACCCTCAAAGAATAACTAAACATTAAACAAAATGTTAAAAATGAAGAAGTATGTTAGATGTAAAACAAAATAAACTTTTCATAGTATAAATTAATTAAAGTCAGTACTCACATTCAGTTTTTCGAGCGGTCTACCAAAATAACGTGTTACATAAGCACTTAATGCCTCACTATACTTTTGTTTTGCATCTTTTCTGAATTGATCTAATATACCAATTTTTAATTGAGACAGCAATGCATATAAATGGTGAAAGTTCTCTAAATCCATGAATGAACTATTAGTATTAATTTAGTTTAAATTTAAAACTATTTATGGTTCTTACCCATTCTGATAACTTCGGAGAGAGTCTTAGGGTGTTCACTGGCAATTGAATGAATAGTTTCAAACATTACAGTTAAGAGTTTAAGATACCATTTATCTAAATCAGTTCGACGCTCTGTTTCTTTAAATATTTGTTCAGCTGTCTTGGCAAAATACTACAAAAATTAATAGTAAACAATAAAAAAAATTATATGACAGCTTTAAAATTATGTCAAATTAACAACAAAAATTACAAACAATATTGTAGTTACCTCAAAGTTGGCGACAAAAGGAAGTATGCCACATTTAGACTTTTTAATAATTCTTACTTCTTGAATTGATTTTAAGTGAGCGTGCATGAGTTTATCATAATTTCTTTTTACATGAACTAATGCAGATCCATAAGTCATACTTAAAAAGGAGCCGGTATCATTAGCAGACATAACATGACGGCCCAGTCTTACTAACACAGCCATTGAATAACTAAAATAATATAGTATATATATAAAAAATTAAAATAAAAAATATTTATAATCATAGTTACGTGCTATCCATTCTTTCATGATATTGAATAAATCCGATAAACTCTGGTTCTATACAAGCAAAAATGTCACCCATCATTTTTCAAACTTCTTCATTTATTTTTTTTTCAATTTTAGTCTTTGGTAAAGATGGTAATATTTCTTGTCATGTTTTTATAACTTACTTGAATAATTGCAATATTTAAAATGTATACTTGGCCTGTAGAATTGTCTTAAAGAAAATCAAATTCTCAAAAGTGTTAGTTTTCAATTAGTTTTTTCTATTTACTTAATATTATAATCATGTACCTTGAAGAATAAATCATTAAGATAATATTAATATAGTATTCTCTAGTAGATATTTCTCAACTTACTGTGAAAATTTAGTTAAAAATAAATGTAATATTATATATAAAATAAACAATTCATATTAACCTATGCCAATAATTAGGGTGTACAAATTATTAGTTTGTACCTATATGAAATTTTAGATGTTCACATATAGTTCAATAGAACTTTATTTTGTATCAACTTGCCACTTACTTGCAATGTCTCGAAATGCAGATCCAATTGTCATAACAATCAGATCAATAGTGAGTTCTAAAATAACTTTTTGTTTATTTAGAAACAAAAATGTAGTCGATAACCGTATATTATCATAATTTTTATCAATTAGGTATGGGATTTGTTAAAATTACAGTAAATAAAAAAACTAATAATTTCAATGTAATTCCACCAAAATGTCTTATCCCTAATAGTTAGCTCAAAACAAGTTGAATTGTTTTAAAAATTGTATGGTGTACAGAAAATGCAAAATAAAAACTGCTTTTCCTGATGTATTTGAAAGCACCTGGGAATTTTAAATTTTTACCTGTCATCCAACTAGATTAATTTTCCTTTCAGAAAATATACTGAAGTCTAAACTAGTTATGTGTTTCTTTGCAATTTAAATATGTTGAGGCCCTTTGTGTTATGGAAATTGGATTGTTTCTCAGCAAAATTGTATTGCCTAAAAAATTAAAACTTTGTTAAAAATATGTCAGTGCACCATTGCACCACTTTCTTCAAAATCTAGTGAGAAAAAATTATCAACAGCAGAAGCCATTTTCATCCTTACTTCTGAAAAGCGTGTTTTTAAATTGTATCCAGTATTACAAAATAAATGTGATTTCTCCAATAACATTCAACTGAATTTTCTACATTCTTAACTTCAGCAGCAGTTGTTGTAATAACATTAAAATCTGCTAAGTAGTTTGGTTCTCTTCTATTTCGCTTGGAATCTAGAATTAGTCATAACAAAACAAGCATGAAATATCATTAAATTTAGTTTTAATAATGATTCATATATTAATTTACACTTAGACTTATATTGATAACTTACAACTTCTTGAAGGCACTTCCAATGAAATATCATGTTTATCTGCAAATCCTTTTATATTAGTCCATAAAACAGAAAATTCGCTATCACATCGTTTTTTTTCAAAAGTATCTATAACGGCTTTAATAATACCAACAGCTTTCTCCAATGTTGCAGTCTTTTGTTGTAACTTATTACTGAGTATATTAACATTGCACAATACTTCATGAAAAATAAATAAATTAACTACAAAAGACCCTTTGGTTATAGAAGAATAAATACCTGAAATTTAAAAATAGGTAAATTAGAATTTGATGATCAGAATAAATATTTAATATCATACAATTGTTTGGTTATTACAATATTAGGTTAATACTAATTAAATTAATGAGATAGAGCCACTTATATTATTAATTACCAATAGCTTGGCTAACATTTCTATCCGAGTTTTCTTCAATCTCTCCATGTAATATTTGTAAAATAGCAGCAAAATTTGTAATGACTGCATCGCAGTTTTTATATCTACATACCCAACGTGTATCTGACATATGGATCATAGTTTTATTTTTCATGCCTGACTCTTTTTGAACTTCTTGCAACTTCTGATTCTTTGAAGGAAATGAAAAATGAACGTATATAGATTCTAATACGTTAAATAAATTTCTTGCGTCCTTATTAAATTTATAAAATAATAATTGTTAATTTTAAAAATTATAACTTTTTAATGACACGATAAAATTAAATAGGTACCTACTTTGATATTTTTACACATGTTTACAACAACTAAGTTTAACCTATGTGCCATGCAATGTGTATAAATTGCTGTAGGAAATTTATTTTTAATTTTTGCTTATTTTAACTAATTATCTAGCTTCATCACACATTAAAGCGAAAAATCCATTTGTCTGTACTTCTAAAATTATTTTGTCTCTAACCATTTGAGCACAAATACTTAAAATTTGGTTTTGAATTGACCAACTGGAATAATTAGTTGTACAATTAAATTTTTTTTCAAACTGTTGATCAAATTTTTTTAGTAAATGACAAGCCTCTTTGAAATTTCCTGTAAAAATGTCATGTGTTATGAATTTTTCAAAAAAATATTTGTTTATTTTAAGCACTTGGTAAGTACTTTGGTTCAGAGAGTTTTTATCTTCAAAGTGGCCCCGAAGTGGGATTCCTTGGCGGCTCAAATATAACAAAATTTTAATTAGTTTTGTTAAGTATTCTCGATTTTCATTTACTTCTTTTTGATGTCCTTCTGATAGCTTAGAGACTACACTACCATTTGATTTACTTGACAAATAAGCAGTATACTTTGTCTTATTAATTAAGTGTTGTTTTGAAGAAGAATGTGAGTTACTTACTTTTCTCCAATTTTGAAACCCCTAAGTAGTGAAAAGGGTCAGTGTCTTCATTATAATTTCCTAAGCCAAATATTCGACAAAAATAACAAAATACCAAATCTTTCCTCAGACTATATTCAAGCCAATCATAATTAGAATACAGTTTGCTTGAAAATGACCTGTTTTGAATACCAAATTTGGTTTTGGGATATACCTAAAAAAACATTTTGTTAAACCTTGTTAAACATTTTGAATTTGTTTAGTAATAGTTTGACAATTTTTTTAGTAGGAATTGAAAACTGACTTGTAATATAGGGCTGGCAGGTCCCGTGTTAATATCTCCTAAATCAGATAAATCACTTGTAACTGATACATTTGGATCCAGACTAATAGGTTCGATAAATGTACTGTCATCTTTATTAATTACTTCTTGCATATCGGCCATAATACCGATATCTTCAGATTCAGAAGTAATACTGCCAATACTGGAAGTACCTATATTATAATATAACATTGATCATTGAATATAAACATGAAAATAATGTTAAAAGTTTAAAACAATTTTTCAATATTATTGCAACAGTGGAACTTTAATTTTAGTTTAAAGACTAGATTTTTACTTACTGGCAGTGGCAAATATTTCTGTATTAGCTTCACAATTGGTTTTTTGTTTGTTGCATTTATACTTTTCAAATATTGAAAACATTTTTTTTTTTACGATTTAACGTGATTTTATGACTTATTAAATAAAGTAACTCAAATAGTTATTTCAAATAAACATAAAAAAACTTAACGGAACACCACAAACAAATTTACGAATCAAACTATAATAGTATAATATTATATTTTACTCGTTGCTCAGAGGTTCTCATTGCCGTGGAATTGTGGTAGACAATAAATACAAGCAATAATTGTCAATTGAAAAACAATAGTCAACGTCATAAATAGAATTATTTATTATCATTATCAATGATAAAACCATAATAGCATAGAACAATATAGAAGCGACATTCGATCAGCTGATGGGTGAAGTTTTTACCTATGATCTGAAGTCCAAACATTCAAACTGTTTCCGTTTACCAACATGATGTTATACCCGTATTGAAAAACCGTTTCCGCTTAATAGGCAGGGTATTCTGCGCGGGGTCGGGTTGTTTCCAGCATAGAAAAATTGTTTCCACTGTTTACTTTTACCCGTGTGCGAATACCAGTGTCCGTCAGTGTACATAATTTTTTATTGTAATTTGCTGAATTTGCTATTCCGAAAATTTGCAAAATGGTTATTAAGTGCATATTATGTACTAATAAGTATGGACCCTTGTCAATTAATATTACTTTCCATAGATTTCCGAAGGATTACGAAAGGTAAATATTAATATAATTGGTTAAATATTAATAATGTATTAATCTAACAATGTTGTGTAATATATAATTTTATAATGCTTTAGATTTAATAAGTGGGTTAATTTCTGCCGTCGTCCGGATCTTTTGGAAAAGGGTCCATCCATTTGTAATAAAACATATAAATTATGTTCTGAGCACTTCGTTGAAACAGATTTCAACAATAATGATTGGTTGATTAATACTGGCCTGATGCAGAGTTGCAACAAAACAGCAGTTTAAAAATGATTCCCGAGGAATCCATCCCTAGTACTATTAGTACTTCAAGAATAATGGCTGATTCTGTTGACATTTATAGTAATTCTATATCGTCTATTAATTGGTCAAACATATCAGCCATATCTTGTTCAACTCCTAAAAGTAAATATTTACTTATATTTATACCTATAATAACATAATAAGCAAGTCAAATTATATTAACGTTGTATTTTTTTTTGTAGCCAGCTCTGTGTCAAAATCATTATTATATTCTTCAGGCAATAGTTCCACAGCCACTTCTAATTCTCAAACCCAAACACATCAGTGTCTGTCAACTAACACACCAAGAAAGGATAAACTGAACAAACTGCTAAGTATCCAAAAATATAAATTGAATGATCTTCATAAACAATTTCTTACACTAAAAAAACATTGTTCTGACCTAGAAAAAAAGTCTTCAACATTAGAGTTTTTTCATTTAATGTGCGACAATTTTCTGAATAAGGGTTTTGCGAATTTTGTTAAAATACAGTCCAAACTAACATTGCAAGATCCCCATGGACATAGGTATTCTTATGAAATAAAACAATTTGCACTCATGGTACATTTTATGGGTCCTAAAGTATATAGATTTCTACGGAAATCCTGGAGTTTGCCTTCTGTTAGAACTTTACAAAGAACTACAGAAAATTGGGAAATTAATCCTGGTTTGAATATCTTTTTATTTAAAGTTTTAGCAGTGAAAGCAAACTCCATGACAGTGAAGTCCAAAGAATGTATCTTGTGTGTAGATGAAATGTCGCTTAAATCTTTTCTTTACTTTGATTTCAAAAAAGATGAAATAATAGGTTTTCATAATACAGGATTCATTAAGTCTTGCGATGTCACTAAATCAGTTATGGTCATTATGATCAGTGGTTTGCATAGTTCTTGGAAACAACCTATAGGCTATTTTTTTGTCGCTACTACTTGTACTGGATATGATAGGCAAAACATAATCTTTCAAACTGTTCAGAAATTGTCCAATATTTCTTTTAATGTAGTAGTCATGATTTCTGATTTAGGCTCAAATTTTAAGCACTTTGCAGATCAACAAGACATTACCCCCCAGACCCCTTACTTTAATGTTGGAGACAAAGAAATTGTTTACATGTTTGATCCACCTCATTTATTAAAGGCAACTAGAAATTAGCAGACAGAATATGTCCATTCGCGACACTATTTCAGAGTTGCATGCTACAACTAGATTACCTGCTGGTTGGTTTAGAGATTTAATAGAAATTAAAATTAAAGTAGTAGTATCATTTTTCAAAATGGGATTGTACAATGAAAATTTTCAATGAAATATAGAAAAACAGATAATTGTAACCACAGGTATTAATTATTGTTTCTTTAATTGCATTTTTTCATTGATAATAATATACTATGTCACAATCATGAATTCAATAGTTAATTTTATAGATTAAACTAATATATATGTATATTTATATATATTATATTAAGAGAGTAATTTATTTTACAGATTCAGAGCTGTTTATACATATTTTTAACAAAATATTATCTACTGAAGAGCAAAAACTGTTTTACCCGACTATGTTAACTACAATTACTGCTGATACAGTTTCAAGTATTATTTCTATGCTGGATTCAATAAATGTATGTTATGGAGCTGTTCTTGTCTCAAAGTTTCCTAGTTCACAATCTGTGTATGGTTCTCAATATGAAGTTGTAAAAGGTTACTGGAAGCATGTTAACTGTTCAAAAATATTACTTGACAGCAGGTAAGTAGATATTGTGTATCATATCTAGGTTTGAAACTTAATAATTACATTATCCTAGTAAATAAGCTGTATTGAAAAAATTAAGGAATAGTAGACAAATTATGAAAGTAAGATCTACTAGGTCAAATTTAAAAATTAAAAGACTTCAATCTAGCTTAAATGAAAACAAACAAAAGTTACAAGAAATTTCAAACATTTCTGTTTTGGACATAATTAAAAAATATGGGTTGACAAATATGCAATCAGATCTACTACAGCAGATAATTTCAAGTGCTAAAGTTAAAAACACAAAAAATAGAAGGTATTCCCAAAGCTGGATGATGCTGTGTTTATTGTTCCAGATTCGGTAATAAGTTTATGCTATTTATATATTTTTTTTAAATGCATTTTATTTTAATACCTACTATAAATCTTTTTATAGCTCTCCCGCAGGCTATAAGTTTCTTAGAGATCATAATGTTTTACCATTACCTTGTGTGAACACTGTACGAAGACATCTTTTAGCTATTAAAGGAGAGTGTGGGTTTGACAATAGTTTCTTTAAATTATTGAAAAAAAAATTTTTATCTAAAACTGAAAATCAGAAAAAAGAAATATTGTTGATTGATGACATTTTTCTTCAAACTAGTATAAATGTCAATAGTAGGAATTTAACATATAATGGATTAGAAGACTTTGGTAGTGAAGTTGACAATAAAGCAGATAGCTCTGAGCTTGCAGACCATGGTTTAGTATTTATGTGGCAGAGTTTTGGAGATAATGTCACTCAGCCAATAGCTGTTTTTGTATCAAAAGGACCAGTTAAAGGTAAGAAATGTTTTTCTGCTTCTTTAGTTCTATGTCTATATTATTGGTTATTTTAACTATAATTTTTTTACATAACAGCATTTTATTTTATTGTAGGTATTGATCTAACTCAGCTAGTTATAAAAGCCATTTTATTGGTTGAACGGGCCGGGAGCATATAAAATAATACGCGCGCCCGAACTCCAACGCCTATCAACAATACCACTAACACCTAGAACTTAGAAGGGAGAAAATATACGAAAATAGCTGGGTGTGTGGTGGCGTAGTAGTTCAAACAGCAGTGGTCGGGGTCGCCGGGCAATTACTGTAGAACTACGTGATGCTTGTTTTGTAATATGTGTATTTGTGTCTAAATGTGTATCTAGGTAGTGTGTGTGCTTAAAAATAATAGTAACTAATAAAAAAAATGGTAACACGGATTTAGGTAAACATAGGTTGCTGTATAATATATAAATAATTCAAAATAATACACAAAATAAAATATAACTCACAGCAACCGCAAGGTAAAAATTATCTAACAAACAATATGTAGCCCTTCTGGCCCAACAGAGTAATAAAATATGTGACAATTTTGGCCTACTAATAAATATGTATATAATATAATAAATAACAATAAAAAAACTCACAATTTGGTGGAGCACAGTCTGGCCAGCTGGTCCTAGCTATAATAGGAAAAAATTCACACACTCACACAGAAAACTAATGAAAGAGTAAAAATATATAATAGGATAAGTGGCGATTAGCGCCTTGAGCAATATAATTAAAAACGGCGATTCGCGCACGTAATAACGTATAATAAATTTGGCGATTCGCGCCGACCGAAACAATATACACAGCGATTTTCGCCGACAAAAAAACAATATAATATAAAATAAAAAAAAACAAAACTTATATTAATATAAAAAGTTATGGCGATTAGCGCCTCACAAAAAAGTATTATAATAAATTATAGAAATCAACGGCGATTAGCGCACGTTTTAGTGGGTAACGTTCACGTTGATATTACGGAACGGACTGGTTGCCTGGGCGGCCGTGTTAAAATAATAATACTTCGCGCAGACGGTATGGCGGCAGCGACGATCAACTTAATCTATACTCTATACATTACATAATTCACAAGACACGGTAATTAATACAAAAATAAAACAATACAAAGATAACAATTATAAGTGACTGTGCGTGTGTGTGTGTGTGTCCAGCTATTATTCTAATTTACATATATATTGTTGCGCTGCAACATTCTCCCCCCGGTGAAAACCTTGGTTTTCAATTTTCTTCCGTTTCATAGACAGGCAATCGACAAAGCTTAATGACTGGCCGACGCATCTCAGTATTATTGGCCGTGCGTATGGTAACCACCCTTATTCTTCCATCATTCCCTGGATGGGTCTCGATTATTCGAGCTAGTTTCCACTTAGCTGGTGGCATATTTTCGTCCTTTACAATAACTATGTCATCCACTGCCAGCTCTTTACTATTGGTTGTCCATTTGCCTCGAATTTGAAGTTGTGGTAGATATTCGGTCTGCCATCTTCGCCAAAAGGATTGCATAAGGCATTGGACATAACGCCACCGTCGTAGTGAATTTTGTTCTTCATTAGCCAAGTCTGGTTCCGGATGCATAGTTATCGGTCCTCCTACAAGAAAGTGTGCCGGTGTAAGTGCCTGCAAGTCACTTGGGTCGCTGCTCATTGGGGTTAAAGGTCGAGAATTAAGGCACGTTTCAATTTGGCACAGTAATGTTTGTAGCTCAGTGACAGTTAGATGGGAGTCCCTCAATACTCGTGCCAAGTGATGCTTTGCACTCTTAACGGCGCTCTCCCAAAGCCCTCCAAAATGTGGTGCTGAGGGAGGGTTGAAATGCCATGAGATGCCCTCTTCAACAGAGCCAGATTCTATGCTCTTTAAGTATGTAGCCAATTCTTTACGGGCTCCGACGAAATTCGTGCCGTTATCATTCCACACCTCCTTTGGCTTTCCCCTCCGAGCCATAAATCTTCTTAAAGCCGCTATAAAGGATTGACTGGTCAGATCTTCTACCACCTCTATATGTACGGCCTTTGTTGCAAAACATATAAAAAGAGATATCCAAGCCTTTTTGTTAACTCGTCCACGGCTACCACTTCGTGTCATAACTGGGCCCGCGAAATCCACGCCTGTAATGCTGAACGGTCTTGAACATTGAACGCGCTGCTGTGGCAGCGGTGCCATTAATGGAATTTGGAACTTAGGCTTCGCGCGGACACATGGAATACACCGATGGACAGTATAACGAGCTAACAGGCGGCCCTTTAATGGCCAATAAACTTGACGAATGGCTGAAAGTAACAACTGCGGTCCACAATGTAATAACTCGTGGTGAACGTGGGTAAAGATCAATTTCGTGATCTTATGCTGATAGGGAAGCACTATAGGATATTTTTGCTCTTCAGTTAG